GATGTTCCTGAAGTGGTCCAAGGATTGGCGATCATCCCACGGTAGCTTCACTATTTCTAGAATATCTGTAAAAAGGTTTTGAGTTTAGTAATAGAAAGAAAATATCTGAAAAGGAAGTATCGAAAAATTTAAGCTAATTAAAAAAAAAGTAATGTATAAAAAATAAAAGTCATAAATTAAGTTTTAAAGAAAAGAATTAATATAAGCATAGTTAAAAGACACATGAAAAGTTAACCAAATAAAGGAATTAACTTCTTGAAAAGTTTGAAATATATATAGTACAAAATAGGAAGCAAGTAGAGATAAGAAAAAATTATTGAAATAAGCACGAAAGAAAAAAGTAATTAGAAGCTTATACCTCTCTTAAACCTCTAGTGATCCTGTAAGGGGCCGATTACCCCCGGGACCATTTTAGCACAATTGAATACCTTCCAAATAAAAACCACCCCCATTCCATGGTCAGAAATTGTCACCAAGTAGTTAGAAGTACCTTATAACATCTTGGATCGTCATTCAGAGGCTCGACTTATACCTTTGCAAATAGAAGCACCTTCAAGTTGTTTGATGATGATCATATCTGTGAAAGATGTGGTACAAGTACCACCCTTCCACGGATAGGATCACCTTCGAACCACCTGAAGGTGTTCCTGTTCGCAGAGGGATAAGTCTTACCTATGAATGATGATCCTCGATGTTGGAAGGGACTTCTAACCCTTCGAAGACGGTTTCAGCCGTTGGTAGATGGCTCTTACCGCTGGGAGCTATTCGCACCCGTTAGAAATGGTCCCTCGTTGACGATGGTGATCTCCCACGATGAACGATGTTCCTGAAGTGGTCCATGGATTGGTGATCCTCCCACGGAGGTCTCACTGCTTCTCGAATGTCTGTAAAAAAGTTTTAAATTTAGTAATAGAAAGAAAATATATGCAAAAAAAGGAAGAATAAATAAAAATAAAGTAATGTAAAAATAATAAAAAATAAAAGTAATAAATTAAGTGTTAAATAAAAAAATTGATTTAAACAGAGCTAAGAAACATATGAAAAGCTTGAAATATATAAAGTATAAAACACGAAGAAAGTAAAG